TATAGGGTCACAGAGAACAAATCCAAGTCCTAGAAGTTGTCCTAGACATTGCACCAGCACATGGGGGAGTGAGCAGACCCAGGCTGAACAACCCCAGCCCCCTCCCAACTGGTTTCCAGGGGGCTGAGATCCTCTCAGCCCCGCCTGATGGTACAGGTGTGGTCCAGGCCACTGTAAGGTCTGAGGATGTCTGGCAGTGCAGAGCACAGGTTCCCTGGGTCAGGGTTGCCAGATCCAATGGACCTGGGAGTTACGCGCCAGCCACTCTGGGGCTCTTAGTGGTGGTGTGAAACCTCTGTGCTTCTCACAGCCCAGTCAGCCTCCAGGCAGGTCAGTCATGGGGCTGGGAACCTCCCATCACACCAGGCACACACTGTCAGGCCCTCAACCCACAGCCACGAGCTCTGCAGCTCCCAGTGGCCACAGATCCGAGGGGGCAGGCCCCCGCTGAAGCTGTGAGTCCTGACTGGTTCCTGATGGTCCAGGCTGCAATGGTGAGCCTTGATTGGTCCGTGGTGGTCTCATTCCTTGTGCCAGTGATTGGTGGAGGAATGCTCATGTGACCCAGTTCTGCTCAATCAGATGAGGAGGTCCATCTAGGAGGGGTGTGTTCCTGGGAAGGTTTCTCAGAGACAACCTGGTAGCAATAGTCTTTTTCCAACTCCATTGGGTTTCCTTCTGGCTAGAAGGAACCATCCACACCCCATTACACAGCGAGCCACACTGTCATGCCAAAGGTGGCCACATAGAAAGACCTGAAGACCAGGCTCCTTGATGGCATCATCAAGTTTTAACCAAGCCCGGAGCAGGCAGACTCAAGTTTGTGTCACCCCAAGTTCAAACTTTTCATTGTGCAGGCTAGCTAAGTCATGGCTTTGGTCATCTGTGGCCCAAAGCAGCCAGCTATTTGGCTATTCACTGGTCACATTTCATCTTCTTGAGATTAAGTCCACCATTGTAGAAGGCTGGGTCTGAGTTCAGTTCAGGGAAGACTTCCTAGAGATGGGGTTAAAATGGAATCTAAAAGAACAAGCCCGAGGATAAAGGGGTAGGGCAAGGGGTAACATTCCAGCAGACAGAACAAAAGACTGAGGTTGGAGACACCCTAGGGTGTGGGGGGGTGGGGGCAGGCAAGCATGTGGGTGCTAGAATTAATCTGTGTAGCTGGGGGCCATGAAAGATAAGGCTGGAGAGAGGTGGGTAGGCCACAGATGGCCCTAAGCCAGGTTATAGAACCTCAGGTTTAGCGTAGGGTACACAGGAAGTTCTGTGGACAACAGTGATTTTGCTCTCCCAGGGCCTAGCCCTCCAGCTGTGCCTAGGATAAATGCACTGAACTTTCAGGGCCCCCTATTCCAGGCATGTCCTGAAGAGCGAGACCAAGGACAGAGGTGTTGGGCCTTGCTGCTCCAGGTGTGACCCTGCCTGTCTCTTCCAGCCCTCAGGGCACTCGTAAGAGACTATCTGAAATCTGGGTCACTCTGCGTGAGCTGGACATCCATCAAACAGGCAGTTACTAAGTGCCTACAAAGCAGAGTGCTAAGCACTGTGGAGAAGAGGCCTGGTTCAAATCCCAATTCTGTTTCTACCCAGCTGTGCAACCTTGAATACGCCATTTCACTTCTCCAAACCTATTTAGTATCTTAGCTCTTTATAATAGATGGTGAAGTAAATGGTAGCACTTATTATCTCTGGCACCAAAGGAGCGGTAGGGGTAAGAAGATGCAAAAAAGCTTCCTGAGAGTAGTTAGTAACATAGGTGGGAGAACAAGACAAGCAAACAATATGCTGTAGTAGACAAAAGTTGAGCGGTGATGAAAGGAGAGGGAGCATCTGTGCTGGGCTGTGAGAGGTTGAAAAGTCCAGAGGTGATGAGGGACAAGTACTGCTGCTAGAACCAAAGGTGGGTAGAAGGAAAACGGAACACCTCGAGTTTCCATGCTGTGCTCCTAGAGATTTTAGAACACAGAATGTTGCAAAGAGAAAGATTCTGGACATAGCTGTTGAACACAGGCATCATTTGCAACCTGTAATAGCAAAGTCCTGTGCTTAAAACATAAAGGTGCAGATTATCTATCACTGTGTGACCTTGAGCAAGTCACCTAACCTTTGGGCCTCTGATTTCTTTGCAAAGCAAGAATAATACCTAATTCAGAATTGTACAAGCCTACATGCTGGTAGACCTTGCCCATGAGTGAATTCCTATTTTAAAGCCCTCCGTCCTGTGCCACCTCCTGCAGGAAGCCTCCGAGGCGCCTTCACAAGTCCCCAACCAGTTGTATTGCGATGACCTCTTTTCTTTTGTCACCAGTTCTGAACTTTGAAGAGGGAGGTTATGTCAGCATCTCTTAGAGCCAGCTGCACCATCACGGAGTGGAGACTCATGCCACCCCCTCCCCAAGCCTCTAACCCCAGATAGACAGGAGAGGGAGGATATGACTAAGTCTTCTGGGGGTGGAGAGAAGAGGGTGTTCAGAAAACTTGGTGGAGGGTCCAGGCAGGGCTGGAAGCTGTGCAAGAACCAAAGCATGGAGGTGTGGTGGGAGGGATGAAGTGATTGGGGGGCCCTGGCTGGGACCTGAAGATTTGGAGCCCAGATCCCAAAAGGCCTCAAATGCCATGCCAAGGATCTGACCCCAAAGGGGTGTCTGAAAAACTGTGCACCAGCAGCACAGATCCTTGGGGGATGAGGCACTAGTGGGGGTTGTGCTAAAGTTGGAGGGGGTGGAGTGTACAAAACAGCAGGCTGTGGGCCACCACCTGGGGGCAGGTACTCCCGGAAGAGTCAAAAAGGACAAAAGTTCCACCTGGATAAGGGAGTACTGCAAATAACTTCAATAGATCCACACCCAGGGAACCTTCCCACTTGCCTAAAAGCCATTTTCCACAATCATTCCATGTGAGATACACAGCAGCTTCGTGAAAGCCAGTGGGCCAAGAGTCGCTGTCTTCATGTTGTAGCTGGACAAAGTGTCAGCCAGAGAAGGAAAGGGACATGGCCACTCAGGAAACAGGGGACCGTCACCACCCGAAGCTGGGATCTGGGCGCCTGGGCGAGTGCCAGGGAGGCAGCCATATGACAAATGTGCTCAGCACCTTCTGCAGTCAGGCCTGGAGACATGAAGATAACCTTTGACCTCTGAGTCATCTTGACACTGGACTGGCCACCTGGATCTTAGACCAGCTACCTCCTGCAGGAGGGAAAAGAGGACCCACTGAGGGGCACTATTCCTGGCAGCGAGGCAGGACAGCAGGGGCTCGCTCTCTCCCCTTCATGCCTATCTTGAGTCCTCCAAACTGGATTCTAAGGTGGGGGGCCAGATGGGGGTCAGCCTCTTCACAAAGGGACAGGGGTGGAGGGAGTCCATCCTTTGCTGCCTGTCAAAGAAGCCCCTAGTGCCCCCTCCTCTTAACACCCAGGCCCAGCACAGCCGCAGCCTGAGTCATCATCCCCTTTGAATGGTGGCCAGCTAGGGGGGCTGCCTGGGGACGAGGGCCAAGGGTTGGAAAAACAGGGAGGTTTTCTCTTAACTTCCAGTCCTGGAACCTCAAGATTGGCTGGGGGGGGGGGCAGCGTGCAGGCAGGTTAGGGAATAGGAGGGAGTCATCAGTCAGCGGGGGCTTTCTGGGGGGTATGAATGAGTAGGTGGGGATTCTGAACTGGTGGCTTTTGTTTTCAAATGACCTGTTTAATAATTACCTTAGCAATCTAAGAGGCAAGACGGGGAGCCACGGGAGGATTTCAACTCTCCATACCCCAAGATCAGCAGCCGGAGAAGAAAGTAAACAAGATGCCACTGGCAGATTTCGCTCCATCTCGCAAACAATGGCGGGACTGAGCTCCGGGCTCAGACACACACATCAAAGTGAGATTTCCAGGCAAGAACTTTAACAGGCAGATAAGCGGCTAGGATTGAATGATTTCCCTGCATCCCTGGAGCTCTTTGGGGCTCTGCGCCAAAGGGGGCAGATTGGGGGGGGGGCCGGCCGTTAACCTTGACCTGTAATTTATTCATTCATTTTGCAGCCACGATAATCATCTCCCCCCCAAGGAACCCAACCAGCAACAACTTCATCATCCCTTACCACAGTCACAATGGTGGACAAACAAGGGATTTAAGTTACAGCCGCTAGCTCCGACTCACACTCCACTGGGCTAGGGCTCCTAAGACAAAAAACACCCTAATCCGTGGACCCATCGGGGCTCACAAAGTCAGATCTTGACCTGGCAGTGGAAAATCCAACTTGGGTTTTCTTTTCTCTTCTTTTTTTCTTTAACCTCCCAAGGCCTTCAACTATTTTTCCCCCTGCAGCATCCAAGCCCAGCCTCAAGGCAGAGCCATAAACATGCCTGCTCCTCCCCCTTCCACGGTTCGGCAAAACACCGCCCCCCCTCCCCACCTTCCCAGACCCGGGAGAAAGAACCACCTAGAGCCTCGCCCGCAGCCCCTCTCCGGCCCTCCCCCAGCCCCCAGCGCCGGCCGCAATCCTCGCAGGCACCTTGAGATAAACATCCACTAATGATTTTATGATTTTCGGCTCTGGGGAGCCGCGCTCAGCAGAATCCCTCCCCCCAGCCCTGGCGACGGGGGCCGGCCCAACCGAGGGGATGGGGGATGGGGGGGTGCTAGTTTGTTTTCTCCCCTGCCGCGTCCCCACACCTGTTTTTCATTCATTCGTTCGTTCGTTCATTCATTCACAGATTCATCACTGCAGCCTCTTCGGTCCTCGGGGTTTCGGGGAGGAGATGGGAGGGAGGAGGCTGAGCTGGGGGAGAGACAGCGGCGGGGAGCATCGGGGGAGGGGGTCGAGATGGAGGAACCCCGTTCGAGGGCAGATTGGGTGGCTTTGTCAAAAACACGGCGAGCGGCGGCGGCGGCCGGTGGGGCGGGGGCGCTCCCGGGGCTCGAAGTTGTTTTCCGAGCCGCGGCGGCGAGGACTGCCGCCCGGGTGCGCCTCTTTGTCTCTCCCCGGCCGGCGTCGCGTCCCCGCGCGCTCACCTGGTCTTGGAGGACAGGAAGGCAAGTTTGATCAGGCCGTAGGTGAAGAGCGGGATACTCTCCTTGGCGACGCTGGCAACTTGCAGCCGGTGCTCCAGGATGTGGAGTTCCATCGTCCGCCCGCGCTCCGCGGCGGCTCATCGGCGGGGGGCGAGCCGCGGCCCCCGCCCCC